TGATTGTCCTGGCACTTTTTCCCACTAAGCCCAGGCTCTACCTCAGAATCCTTCTTAATACCCTGGCCTGGGCAGCTCCTACCAATCAATGAGAGTTGACCTCAGAGTTAAAACCTGCCTGCCAAGCTGATGTAGAAGATGGTGGGCCACCAGGGGAGAGGCCTCTGTGGCAGCTGAAGCCTCTTTGCCTATTCATCAGGCAGCAGTACAGAGAAGGAAGACAGATCTTTGCAAAACTAAAACAGGTACCATCAGACAGTAGCTAAGAGGCACTGCCAGTGAGCAATGGCTTTGCTAAAACAGACTGACAGCTCTCCTGCCCCTTGCGGAAAGCTGGAGGATCCTCTGGGGGACATTTCTAGGCAGCTGGGAGAGGTCAAGAGGTCAGGAAGCTGAGGGTGTCAGCAAGATCCAGGCAGGATCAGAAATGCCATGAAGACAGGACAGACTGACAGACCAAGAGAAGACAGAGTGAGCAAAGAAGAGGGTCAGCCATATGTGTGAGCGAATGAGAGATGAGGACAAAAAGCTTAAGATAATGAGGTATGAGGTTCCTGCAGGGCAGCAAGAGGAGGCCAAGGAAAGTGGCTGAGGTGGAGGGAAGGAGAGAGAGAAGACTAGAAGCGTGACACTGGGCATTGGTGAGCCACACACCTGAAATCTGGGTGCCCAAAATAATGGTGGAACAGGGAGGAAGAGGGAGGGAATAGGCAGCCTTGAAGGGTGTGATGAAAATGACAGGTTCGCACAGATAAGGGACAAGGATGGGTGGGACAAACCCTCACTTCCTGAGGGTTCAGGAGGAACTGTTACTTATTCATTAGGACCAGCATGATGAAAGGTGTGACCTGGAGCAAGAGCACCCAGCACACCTGGATGACCTGCAGGAGCAGCCAGTGAGCCAGGCTGGAGTGTGAGGGGTAGCCTGCAGTAATGGGGACTAAAGGGCGGCTGTGTCAGCTGGAGAAGGGCCTGAACTTGTGGCTAAACATCTTGAACTCTTCTGATCACAGTGAGGATGACTGAAGGACGAGGGCCAGGAGGAATGAGGTCAGATCTGCATTTTCAAACCCAGCATCTATGCACCCCTTTCTGCTCTCCATGCTTTGTACACATGCCCTTCCAGTGAGCCTCATACCCCAAATCCTGGCCTCCATGCGGTACTCACCAGGCAGACAAGGAAACAGGCTCAGGGAGGTTAAGGAACCTGTGCAAGTTCACATCATTAATTAGGGGAAGAGCCAGAAACCCCCACCCCACTGTGGTGAGAGAAATAGTGGCCCTTAGACCCACAGAGAGGCCACTATACTTGAGAGGGCCCTGCTCTTGCCTCCTCTCGCTGTGCCCGTCCCGTGAAATGATGAGTCTGTGGGGCCAAGAGGAAGTACCCACCCAACCCCCTCCCTCCTTCTAGACCCAGCTCTGGGGGCTCAGGTTCCCTGCCCAAATGGCCCCAAGTCCAAACCCAGGGCCATTTCTCCCAGTCCATTCTTCCAGGGCAGACCCCACAGCTAGTGTGCCCACTTTTAGGCTAAGGGGTGTGGACTGAACTTGGACATGCAGGTTGAGGGGTCTGTAAACCTGTGCATAACCCTCACAGCGTAAGATGAATCCAGGGTAGACGATGGGCCAGGGCCAGTCCTCCTCCTGCCTACATCTTCCAGAGCAGAATTCAAAGGCATCTAAGAATTCCTTATTTGAACCTGGCCTTCCAGGTCATTGTGAAGGTATACTCACTGAGGCTGGAGGACAGAACCCACTTAACCTACTTATTTAACCATCATTAGCTTGATTCATAGCCTGTAGATATTTACCCCTATAGTATGTGATTTCCATTTGTCCTCGGGGCTGTGTAGTGATTTATAGAATGAGCACCATTCTTCAGGGAAGAAGCAAAAAGCAATATTGTCCTTTGTCTCCTGGCCCAGGAGCCCACTCTCTGGACATATTCATTGCTTCCTCTGCCCACAGTTCTTCTGATTGCTCTTAGTCAGAGGAACACTCTCTAAAAAGTAATATTAAACTTTCTCTTTTATCCACATTAATACTTCTACCTCCTCCAGCTGGGAAATGTGCACCACAGATAGAGTACAGGCCCTTCTCTGGTCTTACTCCTTGTGCCCTGAGCCCTGATCACCTTGCTGCTGTTTCAGCCCCTTTCAGGTTGGATATAGAGATGAGGAGGAGACAACAGACAAGACCCTTAATAAACATTTATGGGAGGGAGGGAGGGAGGGAGGGAGGATGGGAGGGAGGATGGGAGGGAGGAATTGAGGGAGGGAGGGAAGTGAGTGAGATTTGCATACTTTAAAGAGTGTCACAAATGTATTATCTTTACTAGGGTAGAATGTAAGAACTGGGGCACTGGGACAGGGAGTTGGGGGGTTCAGTCCTTAGTGCAGCCCTCCAGTCAGTTAATGTTGCATTCCCTTCAACTTGTATTTGGCATCTGAACAGCTCTGCAATATTCTACTGGAAATAGCCCTCTGAGGAATTGGGGTCCTCTTCTTTTTGCTAAAATAGCTTAGACGAAGGGCTTCTCATGAAGATAACCAGAGCAGAGCATTCCTGGGTGAGGCAAGATGCCCCCAACACACGTCAGATCCAGATGGCTGGCCCAGGAGGGTAGGCATAAGCATGCGCGTGCACACACACACACTCATACACAGAGAGAAAGAAAGAGAGAGAAAGAAAGAACACAAACCACATCCAAAAATCAGATAACAACAAGAACAATACTATGAAATAAAGGAAGACTAAAACAGCTCTGTTGCTTTACCTCTCAACTGAGACCAAGCCACTATAAACACACGTACACAGCCAAAGCTAGGAAGGGCACTATGCCAAACACTGTCCCCAAGCCCTCTGCTTCTGGGCTCTTGAATTTCAAGGACATGGGCCACCTGTGACTGATAAGCTCATGAGACACAGGAACATGGGCTACCAGGCCAGCTCAAGCCAGCAATGCCAACACTGGGCTTTGTGTGGAAAGGCTCAGTTATGCTCTGGAGCATCGATCTCAAGCATCTGGAACCTGCCCCAAGCCTCCTCAGAACTTCCCAGTATCCTATTAGGGGATCTATTTTCCACAAATTCATCCAGATCCTCCCTGAACCTAATTATACCTTCTCCCTGCTCCCATCCTGATGGAATGAGTTCTGGAAGATTACCACATTTGTTTGGGTCTCCTTTTATTTGTGCTAACACAATCCCTTCCAAGTTTCTACAGAGGTCCCCAAGTTCCAGCCCACCAAACACAGGAATCCCCATCTCCACTCACTTACTCCCTTCATGGACTTCACCTTTAGCTCCTCTCAGAGTTCATATTCCAGGCTGCAGGGGCCTGTTTTTTTCTTCCTTCCTACATTTTTTAATCACAAAAGTAATGCATGAATATATGCTCCTTATAAAACAGGCAAACAAGACAGAGGCAGAGGAAAAAATGAAAGTTCTCCTTTACTTTCTCTCCTCCCTCCACCCCAGCCCCAGGTCTCTCCACATAGGTAACCATGGAAAATGGTCTCCTACAAACATAGTTTTCCAGGCACTTATATACCTAGACATAGATCAGATTTTTTTTTCATAAATGAGATCATACTATACATATTCTGCAACTCTAAAAGCTTATTTTTCAGACTATTCTCATATGGAATTGTGCAAAGGCCGCACTATTGAGGGTGTTTGGAGAATAGAAGTTTTGGGTAAGTATTTCCAAACAGAAGAGGGAAATAAAATTGCGTGCAAAGTTTTCCAGAAGCACTTTTATAAGCTTTTCTGAGTCTCGCTTTATCCAGCCATTAAGTGTACGTTCTTCCCAGCACAAAATATCCCTGTCTCCTTCCTATAAGACATTGCCAGAATTCAGCTTGGTCACCCTCCCAGGTTTGGTAAGTACAAGGAGGAGAAAAGACCTAGGATTTATCGCTTGCCTTCCTCCATTGCAATAAGCAGAGCGGTGACAAAAGTAAGGGATTTGGAGAAAGCATATAGGAGGTCAGTCCTGAGTTGCCACTGGTTGAAGACCTCTCTCTGGGCCTCAGTTTCCTTGGTTAAGAAAAGATAATACTCTAATAGTTAACGCTGGAGTTGTTTTAGGACCAAATGAGATAGATGGAACGAATACAGGTTGTGTGTTCTAGGGAACTACTACAGGCGTGTGAGTCGTAATGATTATTAAATGGGGAAACGCTAATTTCGAGTGAGTTGCCCAAATGAGGCATTGGGCAACGTTTACTTGCGTGCTTACGCGTTTTCTAGGGGAATTCGAACTCGGCTTGAAGAGACTCTGCTCTAACCTTGGCGGGAATGGCCAAGGCGCCACCTGCCGGCGGCGGAGGAGGCCGCATTGGGTCCGGGCACCGCAGCGCTGTGACCCGGCGCCTACTCAGACCCACCGCGATCCATCCGATCCGAGCAGGTTCCACGTCTCCAGGTGGCTGGGGAGCCGCAGCCAAGGCTCATCCGCGGACCCAGCCCAAGTACGGAACAGAATTGCCCCTCTGGTGTCCCTGGGCAGCCAGCAGAAGAGGCAGGGGACTTGGACGCACGACCTTGGAAACCCGGGAACCTGCTGCCCAACACAAAGCCGCGGCCGCGCAGGTGAGCGCGGCGGCGCCACGTGAGCCGCAGAACGTCCAGGGAACTGAGCCACCCAACCCCAGCCAGCCACAGTCGCCGCCTTCTCGCCCTGCCGCAGGTTTCAGCCACCTCCACTCGAAGCCAGGAGCCGAAGGGGAGAAGGTTGGGAGAGCAAGGAAAAGAGGAGAGAGGGTGGGCCCCGCACCTTCAGTCCCTCAGCCCTGCGCCTCCAGCCCCCCGTCCGTATCCCTAGGCACCGACCACCCCAAGTCTCCAGCCCCCAGGTCCCTTGCCCCCAGCCCCCACTGTCCTTGTCTCCAGCCCCCGACCACCCCGCGTCCCCAGCCCCCAGTCCTCGGCCGCCCGAACGACCAGCCTCCTACAGCCCGATGCCCCCAGGCCCCGCCGGCCTCACTACTCACCGGCGGCCGCCGTAGCCGCTGCCAGGGGAGCCGGCGCCCGGCTCGGGGTAGCCGTGCTGCTGCAGGGCTGCGGCCGGGAAGGGGTAGAGGAAGCCGGTAGCCAGCGCCGACCCGCAGAGGCAGCAGCACGCCCAGGGCAGAAGGAGAGCCAGCTTCATCTTGCGCGGCCGCCTGCGGGGACCCGGAGTCCCGGGAGGGAGGGCAGTGGGGAGAGCACCAGTGGCGGGACTGAACCTGCTGCCCCTGCCCAGAGAAGAGCTGGCGAGAGAGCGGAGCCCGGGTCCGAGCTTAAAGTGTCTGGGGGGGCGGGGGGGCGCCCACGCCTCTCCAAGGCCGCCTTTTCAAATTCAGCGAGGTGGGCTCTACGCCGTCAAAGGGGGCGTGGGACTTTCTCATTAACCCTCGGCGGTCCGGGGCCGAGGAGGCAGCAGTGGTCACGGAGCTGAGGTTCGAACTCCTTTGGGGGTCCCAGAAGCCACAGTCCCTGAAAACCAGACCTTGCGCCTGGGTCTCCGCACACACACACTCCTTAGAGCCCTCCCAACCAAACCTTCTTCGTCCTCAAATGCTTGTGAAGAGCCCACTCCCTGCCTGGCAGTTTCACCTGGCAAAGATGTTTAAATCCCAACACTGCTCCCTTTATTAGGCTCTCTCCATTTCTCAGAGGTGGAAACTGAGGCTCAAAAACATTAAGCCAGAAACACACCTGCTCCTTGTCCAGGGCTCTTCGGACCAAACCGTTGCACACCCAGTCTCCTCCTTTGACCTCCAGCCCTTACCTACGTAGCTGTCTCTGCAAGGTAAGAAGTGGCTGGGAACGAGGGAAGCTCTCCGTTTGGGTGAGAATTTGTCCCTAGAATCACAGATACACGAGGCATCCGATCTGGAAAGGAGCTGGGGAAGATATAATACAATCACCTTTTACAGATAAAAAGTCTGAGTCCCAGTTCACACATAGGCCCTGGGCACCAAGCTGGTCTTTTCTGGGCTGCAGGATCCCCACAGCACCTTATCCCACCCAAGAGACAGGTGTGACCTGAAATCCATCCTGTGCCTCATTCCCCAAGTTGGGAGTCTTTTTCTAATTCTCCCAAAAGCATCCTAGGAGCTGGCAGAGGCCCTGAGATTGGCTCTGCCCCTGCTAACAGTGGAGCTCCTGGTCTGTAAAATACCTGTAGGACTGGAGAGAAGCCATCGAACATGGAAGTGCTTAATGGACCGCAACATCCTGTGACTTTTGCTCTCGTGTTTGCGTATCCCAATATGTACCCATATGTACATGTCCCATATGTACATATTCCAGGGTATCATATCTAATGCACTCACCCTCTCCCCAAACTACCCATCCTTATCCATTCAGTCCCCTCAAATCCTGCCGGGGTCTTTTAAATGGAACTTCCACATTTCCCAAGCCCGCTGCCTCCATCTAGGAATCAGGATGAGCAGAGTCCATCTCAGAGTGGACAGCCCCCTAATGGGAAACATAACTTGAACTTAGGACCACTTCCTTCTTCTTGCTCTCCATCCCTCTCTCAAGGCCTAAAAGATTTGGAGAATTTGGGTTATCGGGATGTTCAGTGCCTCCCCCAAAAGGAATCTGAACTGTGTTCTTTGGGCAGTTGGCCAACACACAATAAATGATGAGGTCATCCCCCTACCCCAGGAATTTGTAAGCATTCTGTCTTCCTCCTTCCCCTCCTTTACTTGCATAATGAGATCTTAAAGACCAGAAAATTCCATGTTGCTGTGAATTGGCTTCATGCTACAAGCATTACAGTAAGGGAACAAGAATTTTGTTTTTATCTTAAACTCATTTTTCCAGTGCCAGGGGCTGCACCCAAGCTAGAGGGACCAGGAGAGGAAGGGAGAACACTACTCCATATATCACAGGATTCTTTTAGGACAAAAAGCTCTAAGAAAAGAATGAATACATCCCAGAAACTTCAGGACTGAAACCGTTGTCCGAGTTTGGTTCTACTTTTCATACAAGGACATAAGTTCATTCTGGCCCCGTGAACATGTACCAGGGGATTTCTGTGTTTCCAGCATTGTGCTGGGTGCAAGTGAAGGCAAATAACATGGTTCTCACCCTCAAGGCGTTTATACTATTCTTTAGGAGGGCATTAAAGTGGCCTTTTTTTCCTTCAAAAAACTGCAGGCAGTATGGACAAATGGTCTGCAAACAAGAGGAGGTTCCATTTAGATGGTGAGAGATAAAAGGACAAAGACACATAAAATCAAGAAATGTGATATCACCCACACTATCCAGACCAAGAAGCCCCAGGTCAGCTCCTGGATACCCCACTAACTTGCTGGGTTACCTGGAGTAAACAATGAAGGATGAATTGGGCTCGTCTCTGAAGACCTTTCCAGTTGTGGCCTTCTGTAATTCACTTTTCCCTTCATCCTCCTCTCCTATCTCCAAGGTAACGGTGGATATACCCAACCTTATTAAGCAATCATTCTTGTAGGCAAGATTTTCAGCTGCAGCACCCACACCGGGGCCATGGGAGCCAAGAAGAATAGAAAAAGATTGTGTGACATCACACTGTAAACTACCCCTCACCCCAGAACACCAGTTAATAGAGTCCAACTCTAACAAGTACCAGCTGTGTGACCTTGGACAAGTTATTTAACTTCTCTGAGCATCCTCATCTGTAAAATCATCATCATAATAACAGCATCTTATATATAGATTTGCTCAAAGAATTCAATGAGTTATTCACATAAAGTACTTGAAATGGTGCTCCTGACACATTATAATGCTCAGTAAGCTTAATTATTATTATTTGCAAGGTTTTAGTGAGGGATAAAATGAAAGAACACACCCTTCTCAAGTCCCCGGGGTGGGGCCAGCAAGTAGGTTTATACCTGAAAGTGCTCATAACTTTCTCAGAAGACGGAGTCTCAGGATAACCTGATACATCTTACTCCATGGTCAATAATTTAAAACAAAACTTTATTTTAAAATAGATATTATCATTAAATAGAATGCACAATTTATGTTCTTTTCAATGTAAGACAGTATCTTGCTGTGGTGGGCAGCAAGAGTGGGAAGGTTGGAGCAGCCCTGAAGAAACTGGCACAGCAGTGCCCTAGGAAGGTCTGTTGAGTTTTCAAATATTAGCATCCCTGCCTGGCCTCTGATCAGCACTCCACACAAGTGCTTGTCTCTATAGTTCAAACTGTGCCCTAAATACATGTTAATATCTCAGAAGAGGCAGAAGCCACTGTTCCCAAGAGCTTAAGAAAGGGAGAATTAAAGGCTTGGAGTTGGGAATCCTGTTATAGAGCTGGCACCTTCTTCCCCAATTCCTTGGGGACCTTTGGTGATCCCAGAACCCCCAGAACCTGGATAAAATGAAAACTGGACAAATAAGGGTCGAGTGTGCTTCACCGAACCCTTGCTTCCTCAAACATGGACAGGCAGGCGTTCTCATAATCCAGAGTTTTCAGACAAGGAGATGAGAGAAAAATGATTTTTCTGAGATTTTGTGCACTCCCCTTTCTGTAAGTTCAAAGGCACCATAAAAGTGGGGTTGTTTGTACAAAGAGGGATCAGATTTCTTAGTGTAAGAAGACAAACTTCCCCCACCACCACCACCACCACAGAAGTGGGCTCCTCTGTAGCTACGTTTCCAGGCCTTTCTGATAAGAAAATATCAGTCAGCATCCTCTTCAGCAGACAAAAAGCAGATCTTCGCTTCTGCTGAAGTCAGCAGGGAGAGCCACCGAACAAAGAAGTAAATACTCATCAAGCTGGAGCCAAGGTAAATATTGACCTTCTGGCATGATAAATCCTCCTGCTAATCTAAAACAGAAATCTCCCTCTCCGGATTGCCCTATGGGACACGGATTCCGCAATTCTCCCAGAAGTTCAGGGAGGCAATGTGGGAACAGAGTAGTTTTCATACTGATTTCTCCAGCAGCCCATATTCCCAGCTGTTCCCATCCCAGGACTGCACAGAAATGGGCTGGAGTTGACTCAAGGTAGCAGGATGGTGACGACAGAAGGGCTTCTTTGTTTTGCTCCAAACTCAGTGCATGGTCAGGGCAAACCATGAGCAGAACATGGATATTTTGGAGATGCTGACCCTGAATTTTCTTCTTTACCTGGACATCCCCAAAATTCCACCCAGGCCCTATAAAAGGGAAGGTTTCTTTGCTCAGCATACCTACAAGTGTAAGCCCACTTGTTTGCCCAAACACTGGCAGTGAAATAAGCATTCAGAAGACAGCAAAATAGACAGCTACCGCAGAATAGCCCATGACCTTACACAGAAGTTGTTTTTTATAAGTGTTGGAAGCAAAACCTAACAAACACTGAAAAATATGGAGTGTGCCCAACTGCCAAGGCTGAAATCTCAACTAAAATGTGGTGATAAGAAGTTGGACTGTTGATTAATGTAGCCACAGCTAAACAAATGCCTCCCTAGGAGCTTAATGAGATCACCTGGTGGTAAACGATGAAAGGAGATATCTGAGGCTGCTCAGGCTGCTGTAACAGAATGCCATAGACTGGGGAACTACAACAGAAATTTATTTCTCACAGTTCTGGAGACTGGAAATCCAAGGTCAAGGCACCAGCAGATTAAGTGTCTGGTGACAGTCTGCTTCCCAGTTCATAGAGAGCTGTCTTTTCATTGTGTCCTCACATGGTGAAAGGGGTGAGGGACCTCTCTGGAGTCCCTTTTATAAGGGCACTAATCACATTTATGAGGGCTCCACCCTTATGACCTAATTACCTCCCAAAGGCATGATCTTTTGTGTGTGTGTGGTACGTGCCCCTAGTGGGAACTGAACCCGGGACTCTCTGGTCCACAGGCCAATGCTCAACCACTGAGCCTAACTGGCTAGGGCAAGGCCTGACCTTTTAATGCCATCACTTTGGGAGTTAGGATCTCAATGTATGCATTTGGGCAGGGAGTTGGGGGGGAGGGAGACACAGACATTTAGTCCATTGCAGAGGACCAAAGCTATAGATCAGAAAAGAGGCAACACCCAGGGGAGTGCAGACCTTATAAGCTTGACCCTGGCACAGGCATGAAGGTGGTAGGGTTTTCAATCAGTGAATCCACATCATGACATCCACTCCAAGCTGAGGGTTTGTGGTAGGTGATCTTCACAGGGCTCCCTCCACCTTCTCCACTGCCCAGTT